ATCTAATGTCCACATATGAGGGAGAACATACGATTTTTGGTCTTTTGGGCCAGCTAACCTCACTCAGAATGATGTTCTCCAATTCCATTCATTTACCAGCGAATGATAACATTTCGTTCTTCTTCATGGCTGCATAAAATTCCATTGTGTATAGATGCCACATTTTCTTGATCCATTCGTCAGTGGTGGGGCATCTTGGCTGTTTCCATAACTTGGCTATTATGAATAGTAAATATGCCATTCTTATAAATTGAAAGACTCAATATTGTTAGTATATCAGTCTTTTCAAACTGATCTATAAAATCAAAATTTTTTCACATTTGTTTTAGAAATTGACATGGAAAATTTGAGGAATTAGAATATTCAGACAATTTTGCAATTTGTAGGACATATACTTGGACTTGCATAACAACATTATAGTAATCAGGATGCCATGATTGTGGAATACACAGGTCCAGGAATAGACCAACACATATATCATTAATTGATTTTCAAAACAAAGGAAAAAAGAATTCAATGAAGAAATACACTTTACAATAAACAAGGCTGAGCAATTAGATATCCATAAAGTGGAAATGAACTTGAAGTTTTCTCATGTTAATAGTATTATAACAATATTGATTTCTTGGTTTTGGAAACAAATTATGAACATGTTAATATTATAATTGAGTAGAGCCAGTGAAGCTTAAATGGAAACTGTACTGAGATTTCTATGAGTCCTGAACTTTTTCAAAATAAAAAGTGAATAGGTGAGATATTCTTTGAGATATTCACATCCTATAGAAAATGTTAATTCAAAGTGTATCACAGACCTACTTATAAAAGCTAAACTATAAGATATCTAGAAGAAAATAGTTAATTTTTATGACCTATGGTTGTGCAGTTTTTTTAGAAATAACACCAAAGCAAAAACTGAAAAAAAATGATATATTGGGCTTCATCAAAATTAACTATTAATAAAATAAAAGGACAGACCTTACAGTGAAAAAAAATGTTTAAAATTATGTATCTGAAAAAGTGGCTGCATATAAATGATAAAGACTTTTAAAGCCCCAATAATCAAAAATAAAGAATTTGAGCAAATGCTTCATCAAAGAAAATAGTGACTAAAAACACAAAAAGATGCTCATTATCAGTAGCCCTTAGGAAAAATGAAAATTCAGATCATAGTGATACATTACTCTACATATTTACTAAATTGTCTTTAAAATAAATAAAAATGAAACCCCAATGATACCAAATACTGACAGAAAGTGGAGCACCTAGACCTCTCCTAGATTCCTGGTTAGAATTCAAAATGACCTATTGTCTTTAGAACAGTCTGACAGTTTCATATAAACATAGGTTTGTTATATTACCCTTTACCTGGGTCACATGAAAATTTATATCCACATATAAGCTTATACCTAAAAATGTTGTCATCTGTATGAGTAGTAACCCCAGATTGGAAATAATGCATACATTACTCAACTGAGGGATAAATGAAGAAATTGTGGTAACTCATGTAATTCAATACTACTTAGCAATTTAAAGGAGTCCACTACAAACGCATGCAGAGACATGGGTGAATTCCAAATGCATAATGGTAAAGGAAAAAGTCAGATTCAATGCTCCATTGAGTATATTATTCTGACTCTACTTATGTGGTGTTCCAGAAAAGACAAACATAGGGCTAAAATGGATAGGTGGATGTGTGGGCTAGAAGAGGGTTAGGAACTGACCCATGACTTCCCATGACTTGGGAAGAGTATGGAGGAGTGGTAGAGTTGTTCTTTATCTTGGTTATAACTGTGGTTACACAATATCATGTGAAAAATATATAAGCACTAAAAAGTTTAAATTTCGTCTATTTACATATAAAATATATTAATTTTCTTAACTTTTAAAAGAAGAAAAATTTCAAACCTTAGTATCACCACACACACAAAAAAAGAAAAAAAGTAAAGGAAAAAATAGTGTTCCTATTTTCTTGCCTCTTTGACTTTGTGTCATTTATTTTAATTAAAATTTTTCACATTTAAACCTTTAATATAAAACTTCTGCTTCAAAACTCACCTCCAACCTCTTCCTTGAAAATTTCCTCATTTCTCAAATTAGTAATTACTTCTGTTGTTCTCCCTCCCATACTTTGATCTTCTTTGGTGAAAACAATGTCAACTTGTAAAATCACTTAAAACTTTTTTTGCTGTGTCTACCAAAGATGAATGCATATACTTCCAATGATAACTCCACTCCTAGAAACACATCCAAGTGAAAAGAGAACTTATGTATAATTATTTTCACAGTAATACTATTTATAATATAATTGGAAATCCCTAAAGTGCCTGTCAAAAGGAATATATAAATAAGTTGTGTGGTGCTCACATAACATAATTTTACAAAGCAATGAGAAGGAAAGAGCTACAACAATTTAAGACAGAAGGTGTGAATTCCAAATAATGTTGTGGAAAAGAAATCAGACACTAAAACGTATATATTATATTAATCAACTTATATAAAATATCAGAACAGGTGAACTCAACCCACAGTGTTAAATGTCAGTCTCCTGATTGTACCTGAGAAGGGAAGAGAGAAGTATGATAAATGTCAGAGAGTATGAAGACAGAAGATGTTTCCAGCATTCTGTTTTGAATGTGTATTACATAAAAGATTGCACTTTGATCTGTGAAAATTCACAGATCAAATTCACAGATTTACCTTTATATGTTAAGTCCATTGTGTATACATTACACTTTGCTAATTTAAAAATTGGTAATTTTTCATTCTGTATGTACCTTTTGACTTCCTTTGACAAATCATAGGTTCTGCCTAAGAAAGATGTTTCAGTGCCTATAACTGGCACATAGAAAGTACTTAATTCACTTGGATTGTGGTAGATTTCAAAAAAATGAACCTAAACTACGAAACAAACCAAAATGAAGTTGAGTCTTCTTTTCTGATTTCTGAATTCTTTTTCAATCAGTTTTCTATTGAAATTAGGGTCTTCTACATTAAAACAGATTGTAGAGAAGGCATGTAAAGGAAAGGCTGACAAAGTTGCTTTTCTAATCCTTAGGCAACAGGAAAGCATAGTGTGGAAATTTTCTGTTCTCTACAGACCTCTCATAGGGAGAAATAATAATGACACATGCTAATATAGAGTGATAAATGATTACAGAAAGAAGAAGGGAGGAAAACTGAAATACTGGTAAATAAATACTGGATCATCCCCATCCACAAATAAGGATCATGACTTGTGCCTCTTTGGTTGCATGGAGATATACTAGTGTGTGTGTACATGTGTGTCTGTATGTATAACTGAAATTTTACAACTTCGAGCATATATAAAAAATACACAAGAAAAATAGTTTTAAATTTTCTACTAATCTGGCTCTTGACAAAGAAAAGTCATATCTGAGTATCTAAAAATTTTAATAGATATCTCAGTAATCTTCAAAGATTCTAGGAAATTTGTACTCAGAAAAATTCCCACTTTAATGACAATTTGTTTGCCTTATAATTCAAGGACCACAAAGGACTATAAGAAAATAAAAGGCTAAGTGGAAGCTTAGAACCATGTAACATTAGCAGTGAGCATTATAGAGACAACTTATGAACTCACCGTGGTTTTTAAAAAAGAGATACCGATTCATAAAACTGTGACATACACATGCTAAGTATGACACATATTGGCTAAGATGAGTTATCAAAGAGATTCAAAAGGCAAATGTGGGACATGATGAGGCTGGTTTCATAGAAGATAGGGGTTTACCTATGGCAGAACAAAGCACTATAATGAAGAGTAGTTCTTTGTAGGGATTAGAATCAGGATGAAATCATTAAAGACCAAATATGTTATTGATGGGGGAGAGTAAGACTCATTATTGCATACTTACCATGTTTAGACACTGCAAGAATCTGAACATACAAGAAGTGACAAAACTGAAATGATTTTGTACCAAACATTATTCAAATTTCTAGGAAAGAGTCATAAATTCTACTAGTAAATGCAGAAGCACAGATGTGCAGACACATATAAATTTTTATACATATTTTAAGTAAAATAAAATATAATTTAAAAGACAATGAGGAACATAAGCTAGAAAGACTTAAGGATATATTTTAAGGAACGACAGACACACATCAATAATAATTTGGAAGTATGCATAGAAGAAAAGGAAAAAAACAGAGTGATTGAAATTGTATGCCACAATCATATAGAAATAAAAGCATCAAAGCTACATGGTTGGACATTTGAAGATTTCATTTTGACATTTTAAGTTTTAAATTCCTGGGAGTATCCTGAGAGGGTCGTTAGTACCCACTTGGATATGTAAATCTAAATTTCAAAGAGAATTATGGTTTGGGATAGAAAATTAATGAGCTCTTGTCATTAATAGGGATGATATTAAGTCTTATGAATAACTCTGCATATATAGAGGAGACAATGCTGGAAGATAAAGGATACTGAGGAAGGTTTATTAAAGAGATGAGAGAACTGGTAGACAATGATAACGTGGAAACTAGGAAACAAGCATCTTTACGATGTAAAGACTGGTTACATATGTTATAAGTTCAAGAAAGAAGTACAAGAAAGGCCTCGTAGATTTGGCATCATGGAAGTCATTAATAACCTTGGCAAAATATAGGTTTTAAGTTCTGAGACAAATCCATATTGAATTGGGCTGAAAAAAACAGGAGGTAAGCTAGTGTCTTTAGAGATTTGATTGGAAGGAGAAGCAGAGAAATTGACTTGTAACTGTATAGAAATGTTTGGCAAAAGAAAACAAAAAAGAATCAACATGTGAAGGTGTTTGTAAATGCTGAAAGTACTGTTCAAATAAAAAAATAGAATGACTAAAGACACAGGAAACAGAAGAAAACAAACATCAATAATGTCTGAGAAAGTAAGAGGAGATGAGATCCAGAGCACATGTGACAATGAGAAGATTATTCAAGATCAGGTACATAGAGCTCTTACAAAGTGAACATTGAGGTAAAGGAAGGGCCTTGGTTGAAAGTCAGTGGTGAGTGGGACTAGCTTTTTCCCCCTTCCTGAAAATGGTCCTTTTGATGGCCTTTATAAGTTCCTTATTGCGAAGACTGTATATAATGGGGTTGGCCAGTGGTGTTAGCACAGAGTAGACTACAGCAAGTGTACGGTCAAGAGTTAGTGAGTAGCTCTTCTTTAGTCTTACATACATGAAAATGATGCTCCCAAAGAAGATGAGAACAACAATGAGATGTGAGGCACATGTAGAGAAGGCCTTCTTTCTTCCTGCTACTGTTTTTATCTTCAGCACAGCTCCAATGATCCTTCCATAAGAAGCCATGATAAAGAGGAAGGTGACAAGGATGATGAAGGCATTGATGGCAAAGTCTACCAGAACATTAGTGGATGTGTCTTTACAGGCCAGGCTCAGAAGAGGTGGGAAGTCACAGAAGATGTGTTGGATTTCATTGTAGTCACAGAAGGGAAGCTGGGAGACCAGGATGATCTCAGAAATGGGACACAGGAAACCACAAGTCCAACACCCAGCAGCCATCTTGGCACAGAGCGTCGAGGTCATAATTATAGGATAGTGGAGGGGCCTGCAGATGGCCAGGTATTGATCATAGGCCATGGCTGTAAGAAGGTAGCATTCAGAGGCCCCTAGGGAGTGGAAGAAGTAGGTCTGAAGGAGGCATCCTGCAAAAGAAATTGTCTCCTTCTCACTGAGAAGATTAGCTAGCATCTTAGGGATGGTGGTGGCTGTGTACCACAACTCCAAGAAGGAGAGAACACTGACGAAGTGATACATGGGTTTGTGAAGGGCTGCATCCAGTCGAATGACTAAGAAGATGAGCGTGTTGCCACCAATAGTGAACAGGTATGCCACCAGCAACAGGACAAAAAGCCAGCCTCTAATATGTCCCACTTTGGGGAAGCCAAGGAGCACAAATTCTGTTACGCTTGAGTGGTTGTACTGCTCCATGGGAGGCTGAAGTGGAAAAGGAAAGGCAAAGCAACTTCTGAGTCTAAGTCAAAACACCATTTCTTTTTTAAATAAAATTGAAAGGAAACACTTTAATTACTATATTTATTGCTCCTATTATTAATACAACCCAACAAACAATATCTATGTCTTGTTCTAAATAAATTCGATGAGATAAGATCCATGAAAAAGCTCAATAGAGAGTGGAGAGATTATGACACTTTTCCATTTCATATAGATACTATGTCACAGAAACAAAATTTGAATTTTTCCACTCAAATTCTATTTTATCTCTAAAATATAGGGCTTTCCCCCAAGCATTCTCTCCTCTTTCCTCAGATCATACAGTTTTCCTTAGTTAAGTCGGAAAGGATAAATTTTGTATATGAAATTAATGTTGTGGACAGTCTTGCTACTGTTCAGTTCACCTGTATAAATATTTATTGAACTTATTGATATATTACTATGCCAGTCATACAAATACAGAATTCAAAAAGGTACAATCTCTGACACGAGAAATTTTCCAGCCTCTTAGGAGGAAATAGGCATGTCTATAGTACAGAACAAGGCAGAATGCCAAGCCAGGGGCTCATTTCTCAGCATGACTGAAAGGGCTACTCAGAAGCAGAAGTCCTTGAGTGGCTTATTCAAGGAGAATAGGAATCATCTATATAAAATAGGGAAATGAGCACTTCAAACAAAAGCACATGCCTGGTGCATCAAGCGGCCTGAGATAGGGAATCATGTTCCTCTGCATGAAAAAGGAACTCAGAAAGCTCAGCCAATGACTTGGGACCTTATCTCAAAAGATATAGGGTGCCACTGAAGAAGGTTTATAAATGAGTGGCACTGTCAAGTATAGATTATTAACACAATGGAAATTTAACTCTTCTAACATCAAACTGAGAGATGAGTGTGTAAATGCGCTTCATGAGTTGCTACTGGTGGGAAGATAAGTCAGGTAATTAACACATTTGACAAGAGAATGCAGATCTAAAATTAGACATGATAAAGTGGCAATAGGCAAAATTCCAGTATTTTCAGAAAACCAACTAGGTAAATACAGGTGAGGAATATGTATCTGACTTGGTAAAAATCTTGTACCAAAAACAAAAAGTGTATCAAACATTATAATTGTTCTCAAATACAATATGAAGAAGACACAAAAAGGAAAGGAAAAGAGAGAGGAGAGAGAGAAAGAGAGAAGGGATGAGAGGAGAGAAGAAATGAAAGGAAAGAAAAGAAAGACAATAAAACCACAATATCCCTTTAAATGCACAAAAATGGTAGCCAGAGTCAAACAGATCATACCCTTTGCAGATCACACTGAATTTAAGGAGGGCTGTCCAATTCTAGCCATCATACTGACAAGCTGCAGTTATTTGCTTTTCTTTGCCATCTTAATACTTGGCATAATGGCTACCACATTAGGGGTATTCAATAAAAATTATTTAATCAAAGTAATTAATTTAAACAATGATTATATACCAATCCCTTCCCTTCAATTCACACCACTCACTCACTCAACTCCTAACATTCCTCCCAGGTCCAAATGCCCTGCAGTAGAAATACACTTAGGGGTTTGATATTTTCTAATGTTAAATTCACTCAAAATAATTAGTTTTTAAGGAATTCTTCTTAAGTTTATTTAAAGGATGATGGGAGACAGAAGTGTTAAAATAGCAATCCATGCTTCATTACATTTCTGGTTCTTTTGCCCCTCCTGACCATATGTTTCTGGTTTTATTTCTCCTTTTTCTCCATCTCGGAACCACTTCTCATCCTTCAACATGTTAGCTCCTTAGCAATGCCTTTCCAGAGTCTCTCAGAAAAAGATACTTTTTCTTCTCTATGTCCTCATAACAATTACAGTATCTACTTGGCATAGTGTTATTACTAAATTTATAGCAAGTCTAAATTCCTCATAAATTGTTAAGATGTTTGAGAGTACATGCGGTAGTTCATACATTATTATGTCCCTACTAATAACTGCAAAAATAAGCATGTAGTTGAGGGCTCAATTTGGGTTTCTTGAATGTACTTAAATTAATTTTCTGTCCTCAATTTAAGCTATGTTTTTCCAACTACACTTGGATATATTCTTCTTGTCCTTCTAGTATCTGAAGCTCAATACATCAAAATGAATTAGCATTTCAAATTTAGCCTGGCCTCACTTCTCCTTTCCATGTTGAAGGACACATCATTTACTCTCACCAACACAGACAAATATTTTTGATCATCTTTTGTGGCCAGGAAACTGTTACATAATGTTTTCTTTTTCTGAAAATGATCTTGTTTAAAGCCAACTGTTTGTGTTGGTCAAAAAAGATCTAGCAAACATAGAATAATTTCAGAAACACTCTGAAAACTTTTGGACCCTAAATTCTTACACCCTCAAATGTTTCCAATGCCTCAATTAGAGAATCTATGTAAGGCCCTCTTAGGTGAAGTGTTTCCAAATGCATCTCCTCCTTAGGATAATACCTCATTAGATTTCAGTCACCACTGCTCTTATAGCATGCATGACTTATTTCCAGAAACTTCTACTTTCTACTATCTGTGCCAGTATGTGGCAGCACAAAGGGCGACTTTCTGTCTCTCAACATTTCAAAGTAGCTGTTAGGCAATCTGTTGTTTGTAGAATGGATTTAAGTATCAAAGGGGAAGGGTGGTGGTAAAGATGACTTTTAAAGTCTCCGCCAGACATGATGCTCTAAAATTTTCAAAAAGGATATCCTAAGGCGCAGTTATTTAAGTCATCTCTGCATTAATCCAAATCTCTGATTTCAAAATAGTATCTGTTTCCAAATCCCTTACCATTTCACCTCTCCAACCCCTTGATGGATACAGCTAGCATACCAACTACTGTACATCCTCTGCTTTAGTCTTGCCAGGCTCAGTACATGTGTGAGGTTTGAAGATTGGATCTAGGATCCTTTTCTCCTCCTCAGTGAGTCTTATCATCACAAGCAGAGTCCTTAGAGTTAACACTGATGGTTTTAGGTCACAAGGGGCACAGGGAACAGAGAGAACCCTCTAGCCCCAGGGGTAAGTGAAAATCCAGCTCAAGCTAGGCTCTTGGGACGGCACTTGGAGACAGGCTGAGTTTGCTCCTACATAGAGAGGTGGGCTCAGAGAATGCAGGCCTTCTCATCACCCTTCATTGCCACCCATAACTTCATCTCTCTTAGCTTCTTAACATAGAAGAAGCCTAATATTCTCAATATTCCTTTGAGAAACTTCTTTGATAAGAGCTGCCTATTCTGAAACAAAGCAGGGTTGTGTAGCATCAGAAATCTTAATTTGAATCATGGATCCAATGATAGACCATTTTCTGACCTTTTGCTAGTAAACACTCTAATCACAATACATGTATTAACTAATACAATCTTCACAATTTCTGTAGGTTGATAGGATTATTTGCATTTTACACCTGAGGAAACTGAAGCATAGGGTATTTAATAATGTGCCCAAAGCTATACATGTGCCTGTGTCAGCCTATTAACCAAGCTTGCACTGTGATCCAGGCCTGTGGTCATCACTTTTAGGTGCCACTGCCTCCAGAAGTGTTGACAGTGGTCAAAAGAATGTAATAAAGACAGAGCCATGAAACAGCAGCTGCCTGCAAGGTCTGTGCTCTTGACCACTACTCATTATCTATTTGTCTTCAGGCAGTTTTTTTTTTTTATTCTCTACTTTATCACCTGTAAGTATGTATTGTGAATGTTAAGTGAAGTAAAATATAAGAACTGTACTCATTTTAAAATGTGTTTGTATTTCTTGTTTCACCTAGTAGGTATATAATAGATGATTGTGAATCCTCCAAATAACTAATATGCTCTAAGCAACTTCACAGCCCCATTTTCTTCCCTTTAATGAAGGCATATTTAAGCTCCTTTGAGAATCATATGGTTTGTCATTGGCTTCCAGCCAAAGAATATGAATATTACTATTATTTAATAAAATTAGATTTATTGACTTTCTCAATAAAGGGAATTATATGCCATAAGAATTATGGGATATTTCAGTAAGAGGGTGTTAGAAAAGGGTTATCATAGAATGTAGACAGCTATTAGGTGATTTGGGGAAGGGTTCAGGTAGACAGGATCTGGTCCTGTCAATTACTGGGGATAATTCCATTACTGAATATAGTAATAAATTTTATCTAGAAGGTAGACTAAAGCTTTAATTGATAAAGACAGAGCAGTTACTCAAATTAGGTAGGAGGTTATCAGAGCCAGCAGTGGGACCTTACCTGTGTGAGTTGGCATTTGGCCTTGTGAGAAAGCTCCAAAGAACTGAGGCAAAGGTCTCAGACCAGACCTTGCCTGTGTGATCTGGTATCTGGCCTTGTGAGAAAGCCAGACATCCAGAAAAACAGTATTCAAGGTTCCCAGATGGCTTTGTGTCCTTCAGATGTAAATAAGAAAGTTATGCTGACCATGTGCTTCTCCTGCTTCTCTGCTCCTGTTTTAAAAGAGACATAACAAAGAGTTAATTTTAACTGTGCTTCCCTGTACTAATGTAACCTTGACATGTAATACTTGGCATGCTTTTTCTGACCAAATGCTCTCTGTGTAAAAGGAGTTTATAAAAACAGTAGCATGCTTCATTAACGTGGCTATTGAACACAGAGTCGGTATTACCCCCATTCTTTTTTGGCTCCGGTCACCCAGGTTCAGCCAGTAAACGGCATACAGGGGTTTTTTGTTTGTTTGTTTGTTTTTTCTGTTTTTTTTTTTTCTGGCAATCTTCTTTTTGTGTGCATTTAGGCATCTTTAAATGGTCTTTTTCCCCCTTTCACACCATCATAGTCATATACTAACCTGTCTGATGCTGATATTCAGTGAGAACACCAAGGGCTAGCTTTGAACACCTTTATCTTTCTCATGTAAAGTATAGGGCAAAATAAATAGTGTGGTCTATAGCAGTCCATTCACTATACTACTTTCCATTTTAGTGTTTCCACCATAAACTGATCACTTCCCTTCTTGAGCTAT